TATTCACTATCTGGAGTCCACTGTTCTTTTTATGGCGATATACTTATATGCAATTGAACAGCGATCAAAATCATAATTGCCTGTTCACCTTTGCCTCTGGGCAAAGTTTCCTGGGCTCCAACATTGTCTCCGACCTCACGTGGTCGCAAAAATAGCCTAACCGGACTCACTTAACCAGAAGCAGCTGGCCTCAGTGGCTACCTGGAAGTCTGCTTAGCTTTACCTATCACTCAGTGATTACATGGCTATTAGTGCACCTCCCACCACCAAACCACACAGAGGGCTTAATTCAAAAGCTGTCAGTGATTAATTACCAGTTGCCTCTACTGAGGTGAGGATATCTGAGGGGATTGGCATGACTGTAACTGTATCAGGCCAGAGGGATTACACACTTGGCGAGCCAGAAAGGGAGACTGGAAACCAGCGTGGCCACAAAGAGTTGAAAAGGAGCGATTGGGTGGAGAAAGTTGGGACTGGTTTGAAATGTGTGTATTTTCGCTCTTGGTAAAGAAATCAGATCAAGTCAGGAGATGACAAGGATGAAAGGAAAAAAGCTGCATGTGCTTATGATTGTATTTTGCAATCTAAAAGACAGAACATCCAGCTGATGTGGCCCCCTGCTGCCCTTCTGCACTTGACAAGCACTACTGGGTATTTTTTGGGGGGGGGAGAACAAAGTCCCACACATTACAAGTAATATGTTCCTGTTTTCTCAAGAGTGCTTCAGCCAGTGTTTTGCTGCCAGGCTTTTTGAAGTGTTAACATCAAGAAATGCTGCAGAGTGGGGAAAGGGGGCTGTGCGGGGAATTAGGCGTATGGGTGAGTAAACAGGAGAAAGCACAAACCACCAGTGCTTGCTGACGGCACATTTTATTATGGTCCCATTAAACAACAGGCCCTGTTTGGAATGCAGATCCCAGGGAAGGAGAAGGTACACGCACATTTTAAAAAAACAAGAAGAAGGGAAACAGCCCGCGAATGCTGAAACAATTATTATAAAGGGACTCGCTTCAGTGTAGAGCACGGTGTGGGTGCGACTGGAGACATTCTCACATCATGATGGTTTCACAGGTTTGATTTACTCCTTAATTGTAACGGAGGGTGTAAAATACGTTTTCAGACAATGTGAAGCTCAGGATAACTGACTGTTGTTCAAAGTGAGTAATTTGGCTCTGCAGTTTCTTTGCTGGGCTCCCCACCACACACTAAACTCACACTAAAATTCAATCCATATGTTTTAATTCACGCTGTGTACCTTCTTGTCAAAACCTGGCACTCACACACACACTTACTCTGTTTGCTGGCTATTTTGTCAGACATACGTGGGCTATTTGGAGATCTGGTAAGCTTACGTTTTACCACTCTACACTCCAAATATATATTTTTTCGCTATTCTTCATCCCTGATCAACCTGAACCTTTTTCCCTGTAACATTTTTTCCCTCTCGTTTTTCTGTCTCTAATGTAATTTTCTGTCTCCTTAATGGCGTGAAAAGGCTCGCCCTGCTCCTCACTGGGTAAGTGAAAAAAACCATAGGAGAGCGTGGCAGTCTCCATTTCTGTGTCTTACTGAGCTATTAATCTATCCTGCAGTCCATGCTAGGTTAGCTTTCTGTGGGTTTAGTTAGTTTCTATCCGGATCATTTAACAGCATATGCTAAACCCACCTGTTTGTTCCTTTACACATGGATGCCGACCTCATCTGACGGCTTGATTGAGGTGTCTTAGCTTGCTGGCTTTGTCATATAAGACAAAATTGTGATTTTTCACAGGGAGCAAATGTGTCTGCACGCGATGTAGTGGGAGGTGGATGGATTATTAATATTAAATTTCATGCCATTCCATCCAAGAAGTGTTAACACGCTGGTTGAGGAAGGGGAAAAGTCTAGCAATCAGCAGGAGTCATCCTCTGTGGGCCGTAAATGTCAGAGTGAAACGTCCTTCTGGTTGAGATATTTCAGCCTGCACCAAAGAGATGGACCGACTGACAGGAACTGCCACCCCAGGAGACACATCTCTAGCTCAACTACAGACTGTGCCAGTTTGCAGGGAAAAGTTAGCCCGTGTCAGAATGGTGTTTTTCCCTCAGAAAGTAATAACTGAGTAATAACACAAAGCGATACCCCCCCTCGCTGTTAAGATGACAAACAGCATCGGCAAACCCATCACTTTTTTTCCCGCCAGGAGTGACATCAGCATGAATAAAACACAGTAGAAGTTCACAGCCAACTTTCTCAGATAAAGACGGCGAAAAACTTCCCATGATTCAGGAACAACCTATAAAATATCCCCAAGCTATGGACCATTGCTCTGTCTGTGTAACCACTCCATCTTCTTTGACAGCAATAAAGTGAAGACTGTGAAAAGCACATTACGGTCCTCCCCTCAAAGAGAGAGAGGGAGAAAAAAAAGACCTCATCTGAGCCACAGGCTGTCTCCTACACAGAGGAGAGGCTAGATATTGAGTGAGCCCATTCAGAATTCATAGAGTATAAAGTTATTTGCCTGGAAAGAGCACGCTCCAAAGCACTAACAAAGTATTACTGAAAGTTGCGTGCGTAATACGCTTACACTGCGTGAGCGTTTGGATTTTTAAACTACGCTGCAGATTCTTCAAAGTACACTGATGATATATGTGTTTTGTATGAAATCATAGTTCAAAAAAATAAATGGGGGTTGGGGAGGGGGGGGATAAGAGACCACAACTAGCTGCCAGCTTCCAGGATCAAGCTCGGAGCCGTCTTGGTTTTTAGCGTCGTCTCGCTTCATTTGATGTGAAATGTTTGCATTGTTTTATTCTCTGCCCCTTTACAGAACTGTGGAGGGAGAAAATAAATAGCAAACATATGACAGGGATTGAGAACAGAGAGCCGCCTGATTGTGAGTGTCTCATTATGGTTAATACTCGCAGTACTTCTGGCTCATTAATTCAGGCATGCCCACTCTGCAGATGAGACATTTGCAGTTGATAGAGCACTTGTGAAAACTGAAGATTAAGGATCTTTCGTTTGGGATTATCACTCGCACTAGTCTCGTTTCTTCTTGTGCCCATGTCTGATTATGGTATATAAACATATTTTTTATTGCGTTGCTGTTCATATTTGGCAGGGTGAAGGAAAAAGAAAAAAACAGGGGAGGTCAGGGGTTGAGGGTCAACAACAAAGCACTTTCTTTGGTTGGGATTCAACACCTTAATTTCAGACCTGCAGCGCAGATGTTTGCCAATACCCGAGAATTTTCCATGAAACCTTCCAAGCACCACTATGCACTGTGACTTTTTCCAGAAAGGTCACCTACAGTATGTTCACACTTACTGTGTAACATTCCCAGCTGGAGTTGACTGAGGCTGATCCCCTCTTCATCAAACTTTAAAAAGTTGTGAAAACATGTCAGCGTCCCGCAGCATGCCGTCTACCTAGTGGTTCAGCAGTGTGCCAGGAAGGAACGCAAAGGTTCACGTGTGGTTCACTGAGAGCATGGAAATGTTACTAGAGTGCTTTGCAGTAACATGCTATTAGACAGGCCATACAGCGTACTTCATTCTGACATCAAGGAGCAATTCATCCCATCTGTCGGATAACCATTAAGGAGCCGGGATGCTTGCTGGTGACCTTTTGAACGCATTACTCGAGGTGCTCATATTGATATTTGGCACATGTATGAAAAAGCATGTAAAGGTAATTTTAAAAAAGCCTTAAGAAATCCGCAGGATGTTACTTACTTGTAAAGAACATAACTCCACAATGTCAGCACTTTCAGGAGCCGAGAAAACACAGCCCTGTTTTCGGCTTTATGACGAAGCAGTTTTCAGATGATGGATGGACTTTAACTGGGTCGTTTAGCCTAAAATGCTAAAATGCATAACTTTTGGGCAAAGACTGAATCCTTCACTTTATCTGAGAATCAGTTGAAATAGACACATTTTATTTATCACTGACAGTATATAGCCCTTATCTGACACCCTGTTATCTCTGTATATGTCTGGACATGGAGATGTGACATTATTGTAGCTGTTGAAAAAACAGAACTGGTGCTTAACAATCAGACTTTTAGCTTTAATTCAAGGGGATGAACAAAAACGTTGCATTAATTGTTACAAAATTGCAGCAATTTTTACGCACCGTCCCTCGTTTTCAGGGACTCGTGAGCTATTTTAAGGGCAGGTGTGAGAGATTTTTTGTAATTTTCAACCCCTCAAAGTCCCCGATGCACCATCTGGATTTCACCTTATCGGCTAATGTTGTATTTTTTATCTGTTTTCTGTCGGTGCTATTTTATAATTTCTATCTTTTCTTCTTCTTCTTCTTTTTTTTACTGCAGTGAAACTGGAGCTGTCAATCACACATTCAAGAGCAGGACTGGCTGTTTTTATTTTTTATTAATTTCTTCTTTTTTTTTTTCCCTGAAGGCTAACCTACACTGATGCACAATAGTGGCTTGGCAAACATTTAGAAGTAAACCAAAACCCCACAAGTTCAAATCCAGAACATTCCCCTCGACTCCCCCCCCCCCCCCCCCCCCCCCCCCACTTACGATGCACTGGCAACCCAACCTCGGCTCAGTCCTAAAATGACCAGAATGCTGCGCTACACTGGAGGAATAAATGTTTCCATCTACTGGTTAGAAATGTGAATTTCAGCCTCTCCCACTTCTCCTCCATGTGAACAAGGGAGCAGGCAACATCACAAGTCGGACAATCTCTCAGCACCTCTATGTATAGACGGCTGTTAAATGCCTTTCTTTCTGTTAGGTGCATTGAGCGCTCAGCTGTCCGCATCCTTCACAGGAGACCTCCCCTGAACTATCAGCACTGTCACATTTCATCAGATTCAATGAAATCAACTACAAACATGCAAACAAACAAAAACCTGTCCCTGAAAAGCTTCCATTCATTCTCACACCAGCCTGTGCTCGGAGTCAAACCCGCTTTAAAAGCCAGTACCTCACACTCCCACATGCAACCCCGCGCCCGCACCGCACTGGAAAAGTAGTTTCCTTTACCTGGAGGGCAGTTGCATTCAGGTGATGTTTGTCTGGCTGTCCGAATCTTGACGAAATTCTCATAGGAGCGCTGAAAGGTGAAAGAAAAGCATCATTTTTCATTCATTCGCCCTTTGAGTGAACCACAGTCCATTTACGCGCAAGTGAAGGGCTCAACAACAAAGTGCCGGAGAGCCGAGCGCATAAGCCAATCTTACCTGAGAGAGCAGCTCGTCCACTCTTTCCTCTATCAGTGAATTGAAATCCTCCACGGAGTAGCCAGGGGCACGGGTGAAGGTGTGCTCGCCTTTGGCACTCTCCAAATCCACAACTCGGTTCTTGATGTCAGCTCCGCTAATGCTCAGGAAAATGCAGAAGGCGACGGACGCCACGGAGCAAAACGAGGAGAAGACGTTCAGCGCAGTCGTGCGGCAGTAGTGTCGCTTCTGCCGGGGCGACAGTTCTTTCTCCATTTTTTCCATGCACTTAGATGCTCCTCTCGCCACTGCGTTCTCCATTTAACTAACAACTCCACGCGCTGCTGAGATCAAACCGCATCTGGCGCGGAGTCACCAATTTATGGCACTCTGCTCTGTGTGAGTGAGTGAGCGAGCGTGCGTGCGCCTGCAACGCTGCGTTCACGTACGGTGACTTTGTGGTGACAGCGACAGATGGATGAGTGGAGCGCCGCTCAAGCTCCAGCCGAGTGAAGTCAACCTGCGTGACGGCGTGCCGCTGCTGCTCCTGCAAACTTGTTGCACGGAGCTTTGCAAAGTGGTCTGCAGAGGAAACCGCTCTTATGCACTCAACAGTAGAGAGGGAGAGCGTGGAAGCGGGAGGCAGTGCGCACGCAGAGGACACAGCATTAAGACTGAAGCCTTTCCGTGGCGCAGGCATGCTCCCCCCCCTCACGAAGGCAACAACACGCCTCCAACGTGTCCCACTGATTAACATAATTTATTGGCTCACTCCTTTTGGGCTATTTCAGCCCAGGGGGGTACAGTTGCCATTAGCTTGTTGATGAGAAGTGATGATCAGTAAGGACAAGGACACATTTAGCCACATTTTTTAAAATTCATTTGAAACTTTTTGCAAAAATAGCCCACATGATTACTTGAGTTAAACGGACCGTGTGCAGGATTCAGCGGCCTCACCCTCCATCGTCAAGCTGGTGGCCACTACAAATTCTAAATGTCCACTCTGGTCCAACACTGCAAACTGTGGGTGGAAGAGCACGCACTCCCTATAGAAATATGAAGGGACCATTCTAAAATGAGAGAAAATGACACTTTGGGGTGATTATACAGTAGTAAAAACATAATTATGTATATTCCATTGCAACAGTGTCTCCCAAATCCTACACAATGGACCTTCAAATCAGCAGTGGGCATGGTTTTTTTTCTTTTTCCAGAGGAAACTGCTATTGTGACTTAGATGAAGTAAGCAAAGTGCCATGCACTGCACAACCGAATCAATATGTGGTCACAGGTTACAGTAACAGTATGCATTCTTTTTTGATTTTGTGACATCCGCCTGCCTAGAGTGAGCAAATTATTGGTTTGGACCATTTGTGGGCTTCAACAGAACAAACATGAATGAGGTCTGCTGAGGACTGAACTATGTTTGGGATAAATGCTGCATTCGGCTCTAAGACAATGTTACATAAATAATCAATGTGAACGGGGGCGACAGAACAATAAAAATATACAGTAGCTCAATGCACTGATCTCTGCATTTAGCTACTGGATGCAAGCAACTGACCCACAAAACTGTATTTGTATCAAATATTCATACGGCTCATAAGAAAATATGAGCAGAATTAAAGGTTTTAAAAATGAAATATCTACATCGCAGATGGTTTCAGACTTCCTCACCACCCCTGTGCACTTGTTTTTTCAGTTTCATTGCTGTGCTAAAAAAAAATACATCAAAGTAACAGATGGATTTCACTAACTGCTTTACTGCTTCCTATTTTTCTTTTGATTTCATGGTAACATCATTGTCATAAATCTTTTTTTAAACCACAATAAACAAAAAAAAAAAATGAAACCCCAGCCTATCCACAGACACACCCCTGCCAGACTGTGCTTGGTTAGGTCACAATTACAAAAATCATAGAAGCTAGCCTGTAAGTACGTCTAATAATGTGACAATGGGCCTCTTTGTTCAGGCATCATTAAGTAACTTGACAAACTTGCAGCAATATTAGGTAAACAATCAAACAAGTCATTCATTTTTAGAGTCAGTGCATAGCCACATGAATTCATTGTTTTGAGACCCCTAATGTCATCTATGTTCTTCCTTCAAAGAGCAAACTCTCCTCACATAAAGTTATGTGAAAAACAAACTTTAAAAAATGAACTCAAGTCTCACTTCTTCCAAAAATTTAAGAAGGTAAGTAGTAGAAAGGTGCTACGTTTGGCCATAGTGCACTGCATGTTCGACAAAACCCAAACACAGCATATCAGCACAATCACCTCAAACCAACTATCAAGCACGTTGGTGGAGGGGTGATGATTTGGGCTTGTTTTGCAGTCACAGTGACTCCCAAGCAGCGCAGGTCTACAACAGAACGACTAAAAAAGAAACAAATCAAGGTGTTACGATCGTCCAGTCAAAGTCTAGATTTCAACCTGACTGAAATACTGTGGTAGGAGATTAAGAGAGCTGTGAAAGGACAGGATGAATGCCCGCAGAGGTCAATGAAGTGAAGCTGATAAAGTCAAACAGAAATCTGTTACTTCAAGTTATTGCAGCGAAAGGTGGTTTTACAAGCTATTGAAACATTAAGTGTATTTCGTTTTTCATAGGACTTGATTTGGGTTAATAGCCCTCAGTTGGGGAATAAAAGGCAACAAAGTCCAATAACAGAATGACTATATAGTATCTCGTGACCCCACTGTCTACTCCACATCTGGACTGTTTGAGTCCTTCAATTTTGCTAAGGTGTTAATCAACATTTTGATAATTCTCACACTCTGCATCAACTCTAATCCACATCCAGTAACAATCTAATGCATCTACTGGGCTATGGTAACACCATCTGGCTTACTTGTGCTGTATTCATCAATGCAAGAGCTCCCCTTATTATGCATCACGTGCAGAAAGACTGACATGCAGAGTGCTGTTAGTTTGAATGAACAGCTGAACTGTCGGTCTTTTTCATTTAATGATGTTTCCTGATTTTGTTCATGAGAACATATACAGCTCAACATTAAATAAAAGGCACGCCACTCACAGTGGAGGATAAGTGCACCAATTTCCTCCCATGAACATCAAATCTATTTCTCCACATGCCTCACACGTTTCAAGATGCCGAAATTAATTCTGAGTAATACTGAATAGAGAATTATTTTTCTCATTTGCAGTCAGAAATCCTTAATGGCAGAAGACTTCAAATATCCATAAACCTCCCCATCCTCCTGACTCCTTATTCCGAGGCTCTTCTTTACAGCTCTCTTGCATTTTAATGCAGCTCCACTCCAAGTCAGTCAGAATGAAGGAAACGCGCAGAGTCCACAGGCACAGCTGCAGATGTCCGAGTTATCGGTGCAGATCTGACACAGTTTTCTGTATTTATGTTCCAACACTAATCAAGGATTTTCTGCAGTAGTTTGTTTTCTGAAGTGGCGCTTGACCCCGCACAATCAGCACTCGAATCTCTGGCTTGTAACCTGAAACTAAAACTACTGGAGATCTGTATCTTTTAGATCAAAAAGTTATTGTCAAAATCTGCCTCAAGAGAAAGAAAACACGTCATTTTTGGAGAGTGATTGTATTTTTATTTTTTTTAATTGCTCTCACTGTTTTTGTGGAGTCAGTAACCAATTAGAAAACTCTGAAATCATCAGGTGACAACAAAAGTGGAAAACTGGATTTGCTGTTTTGTTGCATGATGTAACGCTTCATCCGAGCACAAAATCCAGGAGTTTTTTCGTCCGTGGTAAATACTCACATGGTCTTACAGTCAAGCTTAGTATGTTCATTCAGGTGAAGCCTCCTCAACTGCTTAAGTCTCCCTACTCTGCTCTTAGCTTTGTAGCACAAAATCGCCACTTTAGAATCAGCAGATGAGGTCCCGTGTCCTCGTGCAATTCCCAATCTCATCCCGAGCGAAAGTCTAATCAGCCAGAGCTGGGAGAAATGACACCTGTGCATTAGGGATAGAGCCCATTTTTATAGATGGGCAGTCTGTCAGCAGCTTGTATTTCATCCAATTTACTGACTAATGTGTATTGACTTAAAAGGCACTTTGCACAGGAATTCATTAAGTTAGCCAGCCTGTTAGGCTGATAGTGTCCAATTAAATAAATACAAGGCTCTTCTGATGCTGTGAGTTCATTAAATCGTCTTTTTTTTTGTTCTGATGCTACTCCCAGGCTCAGTACTGGAGGTGTTTATAGTACAGATCTTTGCACCTTATATGAAACTGTTGGGTGGTCTTCTCTGGAGTTTTTGAACTATGAGACTCTTATTTGGAAAGAGTCATTTTACATAACTTCTATGCAAAGTGGTTGGTTATATCAAACAGCAGCCCAGTGATTGATGATCATGCCAAGTTCCTCAAGTCTGACTGAATGTAAAACACTGCTTTCAGTTTCTATGCTCAATTATCATACACAAGTTAGCTTCTGTCTGAACTTGTTTTACATGAGTCCTTTCTCTAATCTTTATCTTGTATCTTTTATTGTGTTTTTTTTTTACTGTGTATCTTTAGACCACGCCAAACATCAAATTAAACATCAGCGTAAATGAAGTTTCACTGTGTACCCACATGTTCACCTGCTCCTTCACCAATATCTAATCAGCCAGTCACATGGCAGCAACTCAGTACAAGTAGACACATAGACAGGGTTAAGATGACCCGCTGAAGTTCAGCTGAATTTTAGTGACTTTGAATGTGCCATTGTTGGTGGTGAGTGTTTCAGAATGTGCTTTGAGCTGACAAGAAGACAACAGAAACTCAAATAAGCAATCGTTACAACCAAGGTACGCGGAAGAGCGTCTCTGAGTGCACAATGTGTCAAAACATGAAGCAGATGGGTGCTGCTGTCAGCAAGCCAGATGGGACTCAAAACCATAATATTTGAGAAGAAACAGAGGCTACAATTTGCACAAGTTTACCAAAATTGGACAACAGAAGACTGGAAAAATAGTGCTGGTCTCATGGGTATGTATGTATGTATATATATATATATATATATATATATATATATATATATATATATATTCATTCTTTTTGTTTATGCGCTCATCGTATCTAGCACCAAACTGAAACAAGTAGTCACTTGTTTGAGCAGGTCACTTATGTAATTGTAAGGTTGATGTTTTGATCTCTGGCTACTGTTGTCTGTATGTCAAAGTATCCTTGGGCAAGATATTGAACCCTGGGTTGCTCTCAGATGCATCCACTAGTGTCCGAATGTTAGATAGAAAGCACTAGAAAAAGGTACATGAATGAGTCATGTTCTAAAAAGCGCTATGAGTAAAAGAGTAGAAAAGGTGTCATATAAGCACTAATCCATTTACCATTTAGAGTTTTTATTACGGATGAACTAATTTATTTGATTCTTGGTGTCAAGAAAGACGTGAAGTAAATTGTGAGTCATGGGTCTTTTTTTTAATGTGCGGGCGCCATCTAGTGAGGGATCATAGCATTACACCAGATCTGACGAATTCAAGACCTAATTGTTAAGACTTGTGCTCAGGACCATACACTCTGTGGATAGGTCACACGGGGAGGTCACGGTTTGTTTCAGACCACTCCAACTTATATGTAGTTGTTGGTGCACGTGTACATGCTTTTATGCTTTTTAGGGCAGGGTGTGGGAGGGAGTGGGGAGAAAGAAATGC